TTTTACCAAAACAAAACACAAAAAGAATTTATGAAATGCAATTTTCCCTAGAGGGGTAGGGGTGGGAATATGGTAGCACAGCCTTATAAATGAATGATTGAATACTTTGAACTCTCACCTGCATGAATGGAATTGCTCTTACACCTCCAACATCCTTCAGGTTGGGTAAATGGCCCAACAATTCATCAATCAGCAGCAGTTGCAGTGAATGTCGGACATCATGTTCATGTGATGTTTCCAGGACAGTGCCTTGCTGGCCATCACCACCTCTAGCTTCATGCTCAGATGCTGGTCAGAATTAGAATACAATGAAATTTTTCCACATTACCAACTCTCCATGCGTGAATATCCTAATTGTATGCTACCATCACAACACAAAGTCTGATGAAACAGTGAATGCATAGCAATAAATCTTTTTAACTCAAGTTTAAATTTTCCTTGATTTCTGATTGGCTGATAGCCGTGCTACATAAAAATACCACAGTTGCAGTATTTTTTTGTAATAACAAAACAACAAATTTATGACCATCTTATTTTGTCAAAATCATCTTTTATCCACTTCATTTCGTCTCTTGACAATTCTATTATGCCAGCCATGGTAAAGAAGAAGATATATTATTATTATTCATTTGTTTGTCTCCAACATACCTGGATTGTCCTCATCAATGCTGATAGTTGCCACACTAGATCCTGGTTCAACRGCAATGGAATCAGCGCTGCCACCACTCTCAGAGTCTGGTCCTTGTTGTGCAATGCCTGCAGGGATGGGAGAGCGKGGKGCACTGTGTCCTGCAGAGGAMCCTTGTGCRCTWCCAGGKGGKACTTCATACTCATCATCTTCACTACCAGGGGCTGCAAGAATCATGTTCAAATTGAGCTGAAGTTATCTCTTGATGCAATGGTCACTGCATGAATTTACAGTGTTATCTTATTTATAGTAAGTTTAATGCCTAATACAACTCCAGTGATTAGAATACTTGATTATGAGTCATGATGAAAAGATCTGAATGAATCTGATGATTGCTTGAGAAAACAATGGGCTAACATTAAATGATCTTCCAAACAATAAAACAAACCATAACCCAACAATAAGAGTTCAGTACTAAGGGAGGTTTTGATGGGTGCTAGAACACATTGCTCTCACCATTTTAACTCGCAACCTCATTAGGTGTCACAAGAGAAATAATCACAATAACTATCATAATCATAATCATAATCAAAGTCATAATCAAAGTCATAATCAAAGTCATAATCAAAGTCATAATCAAAGTCATAGTCATAGTCATAATCATCATAATCATAATCAATCATAGTCATACCATACAATCATAATCATAATCTGCATAATATTATAAAATGTCAACTTTACCTGATGTGGTGGTATCAGAGGAATTCCCACCTTCCAAAGCTAAAGATATCTGTCCTTGAGACAAACCCTGTAGATTGAGTCCCTGCGATCCCACTGACTGTTCCTGTAAGCTCAGAGCTATTGCTAGTTCCATCATTGCTTCATCGTCTGCATCTTGAGGAAGATCAAGGACTGCAGGTAGGTTACCTGCTGCTCCAAGAAGAAGGGATTCTAAGTGACTYGATCTTGAGGCTGAAGAGCTTGCAGAKGGTACTTGTGCAGCAGAGGATGGTGCAGCCTACAAAAGATAGATAGAAGAAAAGAAAAGATTATTTCAAGGTGAAAAACTAATGAATGAGGAACAATGCTTGAATACYGTAAGAATGAAATGTGGGAAAAAGGATGGGAAAATGAAAGGATGAAGAGAAGGAGAGATGAATATCAGAACTTGGCAATGAGAGATTAAATGAACTGGGTGAAGAGCTGTATTGGCAAATGAAAGAATAAACAAATGGATGGATGAACAAATGCAAGGATAAAAGAATAATGAATAACTGAGAAGGGAATGTGAATGAATAAATGAATTGATGCCTGAACTGCAAACTAGGAAGGACAGCAAGGAAGAACACAAAGGAATTTGATGAAATGATATGGAGTTCTAAATGAATGGGAAGAGGAAGGGAAAGAGGAAAGAAAAGTGAGAAAGTGGAAGAAGGGATGACAAAAGTAAACCCACATGAGCAGAGTCATCCGGTTGTTGGGACGTTGAGCTCTGTTCTTCCTGTCCAGAGTCTGATCTCTCTCCTTCAACTTCATCATCATCATTATCATCATCCTCTGGGGTGATTCGTTCTGCTGATGGAGTTCCACTTCTTGGTGGAGTKGGTCCATCTCTGCTGTGTCTTTTTTGTAGAGGATGAAGAACCCGGATCAAAGCCTGTTTGCAGGCAAAGCTAATGCCTGGATCCTGTAGAGAAGACAATTGAAACAGTGAAATGTTTAATAACAAAACTCAAGGTTACAAATTGCAACAACATTTTTTACAATTTTATTCCTTAATTGATCTGTGTTTGGCTTAGTATTTTGTTTGATTTGTCTTTGTCATTCACAACAACACCAACAGCAACAGCATCAACAAAAATAACAAGAAAGCAACAACAACATCTACAACAGTAACAATGTCAACCATAACAACAGCAACAACAAGAAAAACAGCAGCAACAGCAACAATAAGAAAAACAGCAGCAACAGCAACAACAACAACAGCATCAAGTTGATTTAGTTGCCATAGGAACTAACCTGACATAGTAGCAACTGCACATACAGATTCACAGAGAGAGGGACTTGGCTTGAATCTGAGATGGAAAACGCATGGATGATGTCCACAAGTGCAGAGACTGTAGATTCAACGTCTTGTAATCCTTTAACAAAAGAATTTAAGGATAAGATAAGCATCTCATTAGAAAAACTAAATAGTACCAAAAATGGGAATAAATGAAAAAAAGGATAAAAATGAAATAATGAAATGGAGAGAATGGAAAAGCAACACATWKTCACAAAAATTACCTAGTGCAGATAGAGGYGCAATTGTCTGCACTGGCGGCCGAAGATCATTCAACTTCCAAAACACATCCATCAGCACCGATGCAAACTGATTGCTTGRCTTTTGTACATCGCTATCACTTCCTGACAAAGATGCAAACTTGGACAGATTTGCCGGCCTTGATAATGCAACAGACCGGCCACTGACAACAAGTCTTTGAAAGGTTTCAGCATCAAGTTTAGCACTTTTTTCTTTTTCTTCTTCTTCTTTTGCTGAGGCAAAATCTTGTAGGTATTGAGTGATTTGTTTKAGCTGAGCTTGGTCCTAAAATGACAATTAGGTTATTCAAAAACACTGAACTTSAACCAAAAGAAATGCATCCTATGCCAGTCTTTTGTTTCTGTCAATCATTATTTATTTCAGAGGTTTTTTAATGTRATGTTCTATTTTTTTYMAMYT